GGAGAAAGGTGCAACAGCGAATGCATGGAATTCCAAAATCTCTGTAGATGTTCATTGAAATGAAAAATAAACAAACTAAATTAAAAAATAATTTAAAAGAACCATTTTGTAAAAAAAAAAAAAAAATAGAAAGGCACTCCCAGACACCCTGACTTCTGTCTCATCACGCATGCATCTCTTAGGGATTTGGTTGAAATGGCTCATCCACTTTAGTGATGAAACAAAGCTTCTAAATAATCCAGTGTGTCCAGAGTTTGAGGAGTCAAAGGAGATATTCCTCTCTTCATCCTCTTCTTCCTCCTTTTTCTCTTTCAACATATGTCTTATTGTTAGAAAACTCTTGTTACTAGAAACATCTTTTTTGTATTGACTACAAACATTTCCCTTATGCTGTGCTTGCATCCATACACATGTAATCTCTTTTAGGCCAGTTTATCAAGCAATCAACCAACCAGGGGAAAATCAATCAAATTAGGTATTTGCCTAGACTTATAAATATGTGTTCAAGGGAAGAAGGAAAGAAACAATCATATAGTCCCAGAAGCAAGGGATATTTTAAAACATAAAATATGGCTCATTTCCCCTCCTTCAAATAATGTCAAAAAACCAACAACTTTTTATCGCAATAGAAATTGAAAGCCAAGAAAGGTTAAATGAAGCTTCAGATGTCCCAGGATTTAAATCAAAGTCTTAACTTAGTACGGGAAAGTGTTTGTGAGGTCCCATACCAGCAAAGTCTCTCCTAAATGCAAGGAGGTGACAAGCTCACCCATGCATGCCAACAATTGGACCTGTTGATCTCGCCACCTTCAGATTTCCAATCACTGGTGAAATCCTTGCTTCCTAGGCCCACAGTCAACACAGACACCAGCCAGAGACACATCTGGACAAATAGCCATAGTAGGGCTTATATTGCAATGGTCAAAGGAGGGAGATACTTTTAATTCAGATTGTGAAGACTGCTGAGATCACAAGATACAGAAGCCTAACTACGTCCAAGAACTACAGCCTCCAATATAATTGCATCTCTGGACCAATAGGCTACATCATGATAGATGGATAAAAGATTGAAGCTGTCAACAATTTCATTTTACTTCATTCCACAATCAATATCCAGGGTAGCTGCAGTTAAGAAATCAAAATACGTGTTGCATCAAGGAAATATGCTATCAAGGACTTCTCCAAATTGCTAAAACAGTATCATTTTATCAACTTTAAGGTATGCATTATACAAGCTATAATCTTTTCATTTGCTTCTAATGCATGTGAAAGTTGGCAGTGAACAAGGATGGCAGAAAAGAACCAATGACTTTGAGTTGTGGTGTTGGAAAAGAGTATTGAGTCTCCCGAGGACTACCAAGAGAACAAACAAGTCTGTCCTGGAGTAAATGCAGCCCAGGATGTTCCTTAGAGGCAAGGATGGTGAAATTTTCTCTCATATACTTTGGACATGTTGTCAGGAGGGCCCAGTCCTTAGAAAAAGACATCATTCTGGGAAAGGTGGAGGATCAGAGAGAAAGTGAAAGATCCTCTAGAAGATGGATTGATAGAGACTGTAACAACAGGCTAAAGACAGTGAGGTTGGTGCAAGATTGGCAAAGTTCAGATCTATTCCTCATAGGCTCACTATGAATCATAGTCAGTTTAATGGCACCTAACAACAAAAATAAAAACTCCATGGAGAGAAAGCCAGGTGTCCACACTATGAAAGGTTGAGGTGAGGACTAACTTTTCAGGAACTTTCATTAAAATCACAATAAAAATGGAAAAAAAAGATATTTACAACAGATATAAAATATTTTTTAATTAAAAGACTAGTGGTTTGGGATGAAATGAAAGGGAATTCTGTGGAGTCAGAGAAAACTTATTCCTGAATCATTTTTGTCATTTCTGTCTCCTTCCTGTAGCTCTGTGTGGTATGTATTGTGAGTGTGTGTGTGTGTGTGTGTGTGTGTGAAAGGGAGAGAGAGGGAGAGGGAGAGAGAGAGAGAATATGCAGGTAATTTTGGCTGTCTTACATGTAGAAAGCAATGTCTTATATAGGCACACAGTTTGAATCCACCAGCTGCTTTGCGGGGAAAGGATGGGCAATCTCCCATACAATTAAATTGCCTCGGAAAACCCTCCTGGAGGGTCAGCTATAGGTCAGTTCTAACTTGACAATATACAGCAACAACAACAATGTTTTATATAGTATGTTGTAGTTCAGAAATAAAGTGTTTGGGAAACAAAAATGTTTAAATTCATTGATTCATTACCTGGAAACATTCTAATGGTGCTGTCTATGGCCCAATGGCTGAGAATGGAGTCGTAAATGAATTGAGGGTTTTGCTTGAGGATGCCCACAATTTGTCAGCAGAATGAGAAATTTCCAAATGTTGCCCCTGGTCAGGTGAGAGTGTAACAGAGTGCACACAGTTAGGTATACCCTTGAAGCCCTAGCCCTGGGCTGGGTAAGAGGTTACGTATGCCTGGAAGGTGGGGGACAGCTTAGCTCACGCAAACAGCACACCCCAGGGGCTACATGCACAAGGCTACCATGGGCTTTGGCCACTGTGTCTCACTGTGTCAACAGAAACTGCTGTAGTGGCCCACAAAAACATGAGTCACAGAATTTCTCATGTGTACATCTGGTAGCCAATATTTACCCCACTTAGACACATCAAATATCAAACATCTGTAAATGAATGCGAGATTCTCTGTGGCAAAACCTTCTAGAAAGGTCTTTGTGAGAAATAATCCATAAATAAATGACAGAATTATTTTAAAAATAATAACCAGGTCTTATACTTTGACTAGGAATATTTTTCCTTTGGTTGTAAATCAGTGAGTCAGTGTGTGTGTGTGTGTGTGTGTGTGTGTGTGTGTGTGTGTGTGTTTTCTCTGAGGAATCCCTTTTAACTACATTTACTATGCCATTCCTTTTAGAAAGAAACAGTGGACATTCCAATAACTACGTGCCTTCTAAGTGCCACAGCTCTCAACCCATGTCCTCGGTTTGCCACATTGAGTATGCTGACCTTCATCACAGCAAATGGAAATTATTTGAACCTTCCCCTGAAACAGTGTTCTAACAGTTACATACAGGCATCAGTCATAAAGGAAAACTCAAAATTAATGAAATTTAACTATATAGAAGTTTGTGTTTTAATGATTAGTAAAATACTAAATAAACAAAATTGATACTGTTATGTAGCTCCAATGGATTTTCAGAGGCTTTAAATCACACAAGAGGAGACTGCCCATAGTTCTCTCATGGACCCACTAGTGGATTTGAACTGCTAGCATTTGAGTTGACAGCTCAACTCCTTACATACTTAGGCCAAACCAAAATAAGGTAAAAATCTACAAAACTTACACAGACATGGGGACAGAAATATTAATGTATTAAAAGAGCTTATCATGAAATAAGAAAATACCTAGAACCCTAGGTGTGGTTGATGAATATCCTTCCTGTGTGGGGAGCCTTAACCTAAGTCTCCTCATCTATGCTTATGAGTCTACGTGGCAGGAGGACAGTGGACTGTGTCTGGTTTTGTCTTGCCTTGTCTATGTCTTATGTCCACCTTAGTGGAGGTACCCTCAGTCCCTGTGGGCATGAGGTCTGCAGCTGATAAAAACAGGAACACTTCAGGAAGGTGTCATGCTTTTGTACTGGATCCTGTGCCTGATCTGATCCAGCTGTCCCACACACTACCAGCTGCTGCTGCCACATGGCAAGCCACACCATCATCCTTCATCAGTCTCTGTGGCCACATGGCTCACTGAACTCCTCGGCCCAGAGATTTGGAACTTTCAGCCTCCACAACCATGGTAACCATTCTGCCAAAGGTGTATGGGTTTCAGTGAGACATTATAGTGAATTGAGAAACACAAAGACCAAGTCAGGAGCAAGAAGACCAAGGGGAGGAGGAACAGGTGATGTTGGAGATAATGGCGTGGCACTCTGATTTAGCAATCTGGAAAAGTTGGATAACTGGGACATCTTTAGATCTTGCCTCACAGAAATCAACTTTTAAACATCATCCTTCTAAGTAGATTAGAAAATATTTTGTTCTAATATATAGAAATTTGCCATGAGCCAGAACCAACTCAATGGTAACAAGTGAAAAGTAATTCAATGAAAGCAATGAGCAAGTATTCCTTTTTTATGCTTTTTTAAAATTTTATTTTATTCATTTTAACGAACATTTACAGAGATTTTGTATTTCCATTTATTCATTGTTGCATTTTTCTCCCTGTCCACCCCTCCCCGCCAGTTCGCTCTTCTCTTTGAAAAGTAAAATTCCTTCATTGGTATACAATCTCCCTCCCCAAGTACACTCCACTATGCAACCTTCATTCTGAACTCTTGTCATAACCATAATATATCGCTTTTTAAAAATTGATATTTATTTTACTAAGAAAATATAT